GTTGTATTATTGTAATTGTTTACGAAAATATTAAACGTTGAAAAAATATGTATTTTTTTCCGACATGACCTTATATATTGCTACACGACGGGCTGTTTCAAAAATATGTGCCTAAAACTGTGGTCAGGCTTATAGTCCGGCTCCACCTGTGCCCAGCATATTTTATTGGTCTAAGACATAATAATATATTATACGATCATGTATATTATTATGCGTACAATAAAACGTCTCGCTGTACACGCAATAATTAATAATACATCGTCATCTCCTCAAAAGTTCTCTATAAAGTCTGTCCAAATAATGCATTATGGAAAATAGACGCCTGCAAATTCAATAGTGCGAACACTCGGAGAATATTGTAGACCAAGATTTATAATCAAAGACGTGCCAAAACTTTGTGCGGTACACGGAAACGGACTTACATGCACGCTGTAATGGTGCAGGCAACGGCGGCGGCGATCTCCAACTCCTCCCGAAATACCGTCGAACAACTACAATAATTGCGATCCGTCATAACTCACAATAAGTATTAGGTAATATTGTTTAATATGCGAGCTACACAGTGTTGTCGTAAACATATGTCGCTCGACTATTAGACGAAATCCGTAGAAGTCACCGCGTCGAGTTGTGTTGCAAATTCAATTTTCCACATTGGTTCTCGCCCGACTAAATTTGCTAATGGGTGTCCATACACAGTTACCAGTAACCATGTACCCGCCACAATAATGCGTGATTAACGTTGTACCCTTATTGTATAGTTTATAGTATTCAAACGTTTCACCGACGATTTCGAACGTCACCTGTTGTTGTGTCCTCCAGATAAAATATTATTTGTTGCATTATTTGCCTCCGATCGTACACTTGACGTCGTATCGCTGAAATCAAAAAAAAAAAAAAAAAACGTGTGTAATAATAATTGATATTGTAACAACAGGCAATAATATGATGTACGGCCGGCATAACCCAACAGAAACATGGCAGAAACCTACGGGTGTCCAATAAGAATTCTGCCAGACACAAACACACACGTGATAAGACCTACCGTTTCTGCCCTCTGCAAACCAACAAAAACCTACAAAACAGCTAATGATCATATAGGCGTAGGGCTTAAGATCAATTAAAACAAATCAAAAAATATTTGATGCCAAAGATGGGCAAGGTGGTCGTTTTTTTCAACCAGTTAAAGTTCAGTCGTTTTTCTGTAAGACCTAGCTAAGTTCGAATACAAGGTGGTTATGTTAGGTTTCTTAAATTTAAATATTTTAAATTTCTAACTTAGTTCGTTAGAAGTTACTTCGGTGAAAATAATAATTTTAATTTTACTTTGAGTTTGTGTAGAAGTTAGTTTTTTATAGTTTAAAACCCGGTATTTTGTTCAAAATATATTAAGTATTAGATAAACCGATTACTCTCGGTGTCCCGGTATCTTACTTAAGTTATTAGTGATCCATTTGATCAAATTCCTCAACTTTTAAGTGATTAGGTAAGTAATAACTATTACAACTCTTATTCAAACGAATTGGAATATCAGTCATTGGGACACGGAGAGTATAACGAAATAAGATGTTTATATTATTTATCATAATAATATGATACTATATTCATATAATATGTACATCTTCTGGACATCATAATTATAGTCATCAACTTGCATTGCAAGAAGTCAGTGTATCGAGTATAAATAATTATTGTTCACTGATATCATGACGAGAAAAATGTTTTTTTATCTTACATTTGAAAATAACATATTTTTAATAACTCAACCCTTAGAGAAGAGCAACGTGGTCTCCGACCGCATCTATCAACAGTTGCCTGCAACCCGACCTTCTCCGACTACACACCTTCGACGTTTTTAATTGTAGATCGCAAGTGGACGATATTATTTGTAACGATTTTGAAAAAGCGTTCGATCGAGCAACACAAATCAAAGTAGGTATTCTACGCGCAACTGTTTTTGGCGACCCGCTCCACCCGTCGTTTAGCACTTAGCTCTTTTCTCTCGGAAAGAAATCAATGTAATACTATTCACGGTGTCACGCCGACATCTCTGTAGCTTCTACTGGCTCCCCTCGAGGAGGTCACCTCTGTTGTTTTCAATATTGCAAGCTATATAATATTACGTCGTGTGCGTTTGTCGGCTGCATTTTCCGACGACGTGAAATCGTTCTTTCGCGTCGACTCTACTGCAGAGATCGTGCTAAACTTCAATTTGATATCGACTCACTCGTGTCGTGGGCCGAAAACCTTGGATTACCCTTTAACATTCACAAACGCTATTCCGTGAAATATATTAGACACCTCATATTATGTCCTATACGCATTTCAAATATAGAACAGGTGTGTCACCATATATTGTGCAGTTATATGGCAACGATGTATGCGCAATCACGACGCATGTGTATCCCGCTGGACGACATTCCAAAGTTTACAGTGACTCATATAATAACTTATGATAATGTGCCGTAAACGAAAAAAAAGTTTGGGAACCACTACCCTAGAGTAAATAAATATATTTGCAATGGTGCCTAGGTGGGTCCACATTTTTGTAAAGTATTATCTGTAACGAAATAATTAATTTCAAAATGTTTTTGAAATCTAAGTGGTTTCTTATATTATACGATATACTATATACATACCAACTACATATTAAAATGTAAGTGTTTTTTATTATAATTTGATTAAACGAACGTCTTAATATGATAACAATATGCATTAATTAATAACGGAATAGTTGTTGAAGAACCCACCGTCAACTTTTTAAGGGTTTTAAATTCCACTCTAATATTAATTTCACGATTATTATTCGAAGCAGAATACTTTCTACAAAGTTTTATAATGTTTAAACACCGAATATTGTGTAAGCAGTGTTTTCACAAAATAAGCTTTTAACAATTAGATGAGCGTATTTTACATCACATATTATTTTAATGGGTGCTTAGACGTACCCGCAATATTTTCGCCAAGGGTACCCGCAAAATATATTTAATGTTTACGAATATCAAGTGCGCATAGTCAGAAATAATGTTATTTCAGCTGTGTTTGTTTAGTATTATTATTGCAAGCTTGAAGTGAAAAGTGTTTTTAATTTGATTGTTTTGAAAAATGTTTGTTACGAAATGAAAAATATTTATTAATTATAGGCTGTTATACCTATTACCTGTTATACGCGATATACCTAGCTAAATATTATTATTAATTTATTACTTTAGGTACTCGAGAAAAGTACGTATGCACGTCAGTGTACATTATAGACGACCGGAGTGAATAGGTACTCAAATGAATATTTTACTTTGATTTTAATTAAAATGATAACATCGAACTCGACTGGATGGTTGTAGACCGTCGAATAATACTAAAATTCAATCGTAGAGAGATAATTATTTAAAAAACAATACCTAGGCAACTGTAAGAAACATAACGAAATGTAAATATACGCGTTTATTTTTAAATTGAACAATTCTATTTACAATAATACTTCGCAGCGATTACCTCGATTTACATTCTGACAAAACGTTATTATAATAAAATTATTGTATTCGAGCAGTTGATTAAGTATTTAAGTTTTAAATTTAAAAAAAAAATGTGTTGGATGTGTTTACGGGACGCTGTCGCCTATGAAGTATCATCCACTCCTAAAATTAGAATGCTATTTTAATGAAATGTGACCGTTTTTAAATCATGTTTTGGAAATCCGCGATGACATACCGCATTTTAGTTTACAGTAAATAGGACGATTATGGTTTAGGTTATAATAATTTCTATTGTATCATTGATATTTGTGAATTCTCGTGAATGATGTTATTACCTATCTATTGTATTAGGATGCCAAAAAAAAGCAAAATATAGCACTAAGTTCAGACTAAAAACATTTTAAAAAAAGGGAAAAGCTATAATAATCTACGAATTGTATGATAAAAATGATATAAAAGTGTAAGACAATATTATTGTTGTGTCCTTGTACATTGCCTATATTTATTTGAATGCAAAATATATATATTACCTCCTCGATATGTTGACGGACTTTTTATAACACACGACCCAAGTATTAAATTGTTATCATAACTTTATCATATTCGTCCAAACCACATTTTTATGACATTACGTATTCAAACATATTTATATGTCTGTGTAGGTGGCATAGACAATAATAATCCAATAATCCTTTGCGTGATTCATTATCGTCAACATTGTCAGTTTTAATACCATTATCGAGTGTTAAGTACAATGAAAAATTATATTACTTCCGTATAGTAACTGTAAAAATATATTATAATAGACGCTATAAAAATATTGACATCATGTATATAATATAGGTAGCGAAATAATAGTTCGCAATAACTACAATACTTGATCATCAATCGGTATTGAATAATTATTAAAAAAAAGTGTATTTAGAACATTGATAAATATCTTGTTGATATATCATACAAATAATTGATTCAAGAAGATTAGACATTGTTTTTGTAAATTTGAATTTTGCACAAGAATGGTCATTAACGAGTTAAAAAGTATTTTAAATTTCAACTTTTTAACAAAATTATATAGTTACTTTTGAGTTTTGTAAATTTAACTGCTAACACTAAACTTCGTTGTTTTTCACTTAGCGGTATACCGACGAATCCAATTTTAATTTGAATGTGTTGAATCGTGTTATTATGTTTTCCATTTTATGTAATTACGTACATTTCAATCGATTTTGTTTAGATATCAAAATATATTTCAGGTAATATTTGATCTGAATATTAGTTTTTTGCTAATAAAAACGCTTTATATTTTTCAGTTGATAGAAAAAATAAAGTAGAGTAAAAGCAGCGTTACCTAAGAGGTTAACCCAACCTAACGAAACAATAAATAAACATTTAAATTGAACTTAATACACATTTAAATAAAAAAAAATTATGTATTAATTTTAATTTTATGTAAGTTATTCAAAAATAAAATTACCTTTTAACCACTTCTTATTAATGAATTTTAACTATAACTTGACCAAGTAAAAGAAAAATGCATTACTGTCTCAGCTTTGAATATGAAACGTAACAATGCATTTGATAACTGATTTTTGTTACATATTACATAATTATATAAAATATTTTTCTGGAATAACGTCATAGAATTAAATCAATTTTAATCCCATACTTGTTTTATACAGTGTGGGGTCTTCTTCGCTTGAAAAATGCAGACTTCGCAAAATATGATTTATTTGTATAAATTAATTGATTTTTTTTCGAGGGAGGGGAGATTGTTTGAGCCGCTGTACGTGACTTAGAAAAGACGCGCTTACTAAAATATGAAATCGAGTACAACGCTGTGGGACTCAAAAACCTGCCAAAAAAAAAAAAAAAATTAAAAAAAATAAACAGCTGTTTTTGCTAAATACTTCGGGTATATTTTATAATTGATTCGACGCGTAACGATAATAATACGTTACTATAGCGGGGACCCTAAGTATATTGACATAAATAAATTTAATTATGTGAAGTAACATCGAAAAAACATTATGTAAACGAGACGTGTATCTCAGTGACTCGTAATTATTATAATTTAAAACGTTCGAGAGTGCACAGAGCAACTGTGTACAAAGTTTCTCCAAAGACAGCGAGTGTCGCGATGTTCGAAGGCAACGACGGGATGTCGGTTTAAAAATATTATAACGCAGGATGGATTTTAAATATTATTGTTTGCCTTACGGTTGTAAATATTTTATTTAAAAAAAAAATTTAAAAAAAATGGTCGCTCGCTCTTATTTCCTTAACGATCTTAGATTCTGACAAAGCGGAAAGTATATCGTTGTTGAGTTTAATTGGTAGGTATCCTGACATAACAGTAACGGCTGTATGATTTTTACGTTCTGTGTTCATAATAGTGTATCTCAAAAATAATATGAATAATATTATAAAAAAAAAATCCTGCGGTTTGAAATGAAGTCATTTCAAATAATAATAATAACAAATAAAACGACAAACATAATAATACGGGATTTCGCTTTGAAAAATTGTGATGAGATCGACCCAGAGGTGGATTTTAAGCAGCGTAACATTTTATCGTGCTTAAGAATCCGCGTGCGTTGTCTCCGTCTTTGCAATTAATGCACAACATTAGCAAACTTTACGTTAACAATAAACCATTTTACTCTGTTCAAACTTAAAGCGAACTGAACTACGATGTAATTTAAAGGTAACATAATTGTTTAATGCGTCCCGGAAGGTTTTATAAATGTTATTATTTCTAAGTGGGTTTTGATCGTTTTAAAATTTTGCAAAATAACATGACGTGCAGTGTCAAAATGGTCGCAGCTATTGCTTCTTAGTAAAAAAAAAAACACCAACAAAAGCCTCCCAAATGTTCTACGTATAGTAATCTTACTTGTAAACCGCATACCCGGTCGATTTACGATAATTGTATAAATATACATAGCGAAATGTTTTATTGTGATAGTACGATTTTCCGTGTTGTGCATATTTTGTGAGACGGAGACAAAACATGCGTGTTGATGTGCCACAGATTTACGTCACACGTCCTTGCGCATTGTGACGTAGGTACCTCCGTATGGTTTTGAATTTTTACCTAGGCATTTAAAATTAATTTAATAATCATTAGTCGACTTTGCCGATTTTTTTCTTTGCAATGTCCCACAACAATTGGTAGAAAAATACGTAAAAACAATTATTTTAAGCCCCATCACTATACAGGAGCCTAATATGCATTTTTATTTTGTAACTATTTACTTCTTTTGAAACTGTTTCACTGGCTCTAGTCGATTTGCCCTAAATTATATTATATAGTATGTGTAATTTTCACTAACGTTTTTTTGAAAATCGGTTGTCGTTTGCCCCATTTCAAGTAGTAAAAAATTAGCAACAAAATCAAAATTGAATATTCTTTTGATAGTTCGTAGTCGATATAGATAGTACACGATATCGCGGTATGAGCAGATGCTAATTATAACATAGAACGTTCCATTTTAGATTTTCAACAGTCACTAGCCCACACAGTTCTACGATATTTCAGTATTGACTTTTAACTTGAGCGTACTGTAGAAAGATCTATCGGTTTACTTTGATGAAAATTACAATTCATATTTTTGGTTGTCGTCTATTTCCCCGAAAACCTAACCTAACCCAAAATATATATATAACAGCTAGCTGTAGTTTTGTCTAAATATACAAACATAAAATATGCGCCGTCGAGTGACACGATTCGCTCCCACCAATTTTCAATATTATCATATTTTACTTACATGTTTTAGACGAAGGTTTTTTACAATTTTTCTTTAAATAAATCGTGTCACCCGACACCAAATCATTCGAACGGATATCGTCCGTGCAAACGAATCACATAAGTTTACGACGCACTCCGAAAACATATATTTTATTTGTTACACAATAATATGTCTATTTTCTATCTGGCCATAGCGCACATAATATGCTAGGTACTTGAACAAAACTACTAAGGTCTTAAAATGATAAGCACATATGACAGCAACATATTATTATTATATACCACGAATAACGCTTGTGTGATACAACTGTTAGCTTTCAATACGTTTTATATGTTCCGAGTGAACCAGAACGTTTTTACAATTGTTTTTTTTTTTTTTTACCATCTCCTTAAAATAGAATTAGGCACAGTGTTGTAAAAATACGGTATTTTATTTTCTGTTTGGATAATACCAAATCATACCACGGCAAAGAGCGTCGATGTACTCTAAGTTATTGAAAATTAAACACAGGTTAAAAAACTATTGTACATAGGTACTATGTGGCCAATTTTAAAACGGCTTAATAATTCCAGAAAAGATTTAAAAAACCACGATACCTAATACAGAAACTATTTTAGAGTAAACTAATATTTAAAGTCGCATTCTATACGCCAATACCAGTCCTGATATACCTGCTTATAGTGACTAAAACAATTTGAATTCAAAATAATGTAATTAGTTACAACGATTTACAGTACATCATGTTCTTAAATATTAAATTAAATTTCTAATAATAATATAAACTATTTTTTTCCATATGACAGTGTAAAATCATTTTATACCATGTACGTACAGTTCCTTGCAGTGTAATAGAATTGTATATACCACTCTATAACACAAACTCACAACTGTGGTAATAGGTAATATAGGTATTTCATATTTCATATTATGTAATCAATGTAATGATATAAAATTGTTTCAGTGATTCCAGAGGTTATTTCGTTTTACAGGACTCGATAAAATACTAGAAACAATAAACAGTTCGGTTATATATATATGTATAGGAACACATAATCAAATTAATTTCCGTCTTCACTTCTATACTTAGGTAGTCTGAGTTCCATAAAAGTGTTTATTGACAAAGAAGAAGCTTCGGATATTGTTTAGCGAACATCTTTTTAAGCAGTTTTATTAAATTAATGTTAGTGCATGGAGGAGAAATGATTAATGAAAGATTCCAATTAATTAAAGATAAAAGTTTATTTTGTACTGTCAGCTTTTTAGTGTGCAAGTACACTTGGATGTTGCTACTAAAAAATTATTTCTGAGAATTCATGTGACCGTTGAACATTTTTTAAAGTGTACCTATAAAGTAATGAAAATTGAATAAAAACATTTAATAAAAAAAAAAAAAAAAATAGTTGCCATGTAAATATGTAATATATAGATTATCTATATATTACATATTTATAGCAAGTAGATAATCAATATTGAATAGTTTTAGTTTTTTACTGTTAACCAATCATACAAACTTTAGAAATAAAGAATTATCTGATTTTAGTTAAATATAAGACCAGAAAACTGCATTACCTACTTATTAACTATATTCAGTATAGTAATACATATTATATGAGATTATGCACTCTATCCATTGAGGATATTATTATTACTTTTTTTTAAATTTTCATCTACTTTTGGCTGTTGCGAACTAAGTAAGCGGATTAGCTATAACCAATTATAAAAGCTTTTAAAAAAGTAAAAAATTACAAAAGTTGAAGATGTACAAATATTATCCTGCACCTACTCTGTATCTTAAGGATTAAATGTCTGAATTTATTATCGGACTAGACAAAATAAAAATAATACAATTTTATTTTATTGCCAATTAATTTTCATAGCACCCTCCTTCCCCCCTCTCCATCTCAAAATGATAAAATCTTACTAATGAAACTGCATAGATCCATTAAATTAGGTAATAAAATGGTAATCTATCCAAAAAAATCAGATTGAAAACACATTATAAATTAGGAAATCAATAGTATTTTCACCAAGCATGCTCTCGCCAATTTTCACTTTAGTTATAAGTGTATTCTAATTCTTGACATTTTTAAATATACTTAAAGACCATTTATTTTCAACTTATTGGAACTTTTCATACTACCTACTTAAGGAGTTTATTGTGTTGATATAAACTTTTACTTTGCGGGTGAAAACCTTTGTTTACTGTAACTTATTTAGCCGACAATTATTTTTAAGAAAATGTCTACGCACTGTGTGTTTTTTCTCTCTGGCCGTGCGCAACATGTACAAAACGCATTTACGCAGAATCTTTTTTTTTATGTTTTTGTATAATATAAGATTAAAATTCTTTATTAAAAAATCGATAGAGAATAATATTTTTTAGGTAATGATATATCGATTTGCCTAAATATTGTCTCAAAACAATTTAAACACCATTTAAATGTACAGTTTAAAGTTTTATATTTAGAAAGCGATTACGAAGTCAAATAATAATAAAATATAAAACCGATATTTCAAACCATCAAAAATGTTATCCTTTAAAATTTTCGTAATAAAAGATTTTACTCTAACGTTACTCAAAAATCATAAAAAAATCATTTTAGGTGAAAACTAAAATTTCATGTTAGCAAATAATAATGTAAGTAAATACGCACTGACATCATCTTCAAATTCTCATTTAAAAAACAAAAGTTTGTACAAAGTACTGCAGAAATCTCCTTAAATAGAACAAAAACATTCAAGAATTTTAATACACGGTCTTTAAGTGTATTTGAAAATTTTTAATTAAATGAAAAATGGGGGTTAGCATGCAAAGTGAATCACTCTGGGCTAGCTCTGCAATGACTGCATGTAATGAGGAAATAAAAAAATAAAAAAAATATGTAGTATTCATGTTTAGCGAGGTGAGAGTAATATTGTTCAAAGAAATATCAATTTAAAAATTAAATAACTTAAAACTTAGCACATAACTATAAATACATTTTTAGTTGCGTTTTGGATATCATGTATCTGTGATAAATGGATAATTTAATATAGATATGCCATAACGAGGTTTTCAATTTTGTTTTTCCTTCGATTGGTATTCATTTTGTGAAACTATAATTCTTGGTTTTATATTTTGCGCCAGTAGAGGTGCATTTAGCTGAAAATAATTTTTAAATAATAAAATAATAATTTAGAAAGGTACATATTAAGTATTTTTCGTTTTGAAAACATTATTTTCTCTCTCGCCCATAATATTATGTAGTTTTTAGTTGTGTCGTAAAGACTTCTTACGCCGGACTGCAGTAATTAAATCTAACGTTTCGCAGGACAACTACCTACGGGGTGATAACAATTAGTAAGGAGGATAATTAAATAAATAAATAGGTACCTTCTTAAAAATGATCTTGAACATATTTTATAATAACTAGTATAAATAAATTTACTATTAACAATAAAATGCTTACGGCCCCCGCCAATTGGGAGTGATAATAATAATAATAATAATAATAATATAATAAAACTGTACAGTTTGCTCCGCGTATTCAGAGTAATGCTCAGGTAGAATAAAATCAATAAAAAGTTCTATGACGTAGATACTGGATGAAAATAGCTCAACAGAACTTTGCTATAGATGTATAATAATATCAACAAATTTAAATGTTGCATAGTACCGAGAACGATACACCTTCAAGCCTGACGTTCAAAAACTTCTGATGTGTAAACATCTTTATATTATAGATACGCCCCCCCCCTCCCACACACAAATTGTAAGGCTGCGCAGTAATACATTTCGTGTAAACCAACGGAAAACGCTTTACATGCAATGAAAGCGAGTTGAGAATGGCTTGTAATATTTTAAGCTTAATACATATTTACGGTAATTAATACTTGGTATTTTTAATTTTAGAGCACAAATTATTGGAAATCTGGATTGATTTTCAATCTTTTCGACAGAGCATAGATTTTGTTGCAACATAATATTGTGATATTTAACAGAAAATTAACAAACAAAATGTAAAAGATCTAAAATGTTTATCAATACTTTGAATTACCATTGTGTACCTACCTATATACAAATAAAGGAATAGTATTAGATGAGTAAAATGATTCTAATTTTCTACGATTCATATTTCTAAGACGATTACAAAAATCATTTGAGGATTAATCGTCGTCATTATACTGTGTGTCAATACCAAATGTTGTCATGATTTGAATGCTAAACAAAAATTGTGAGTGTGTACGTTCGATATATATTTTTTTTATTACCACAAGAACAAGTTATGCGGAATATACTTTTATAATAAATTGATTCCAAAACCGAAAAAAAACGAGGAAAATAATTCTTAACCCAACCGCAAAAACCATTTTTGATTTTTTTTCGTGTGTAGAACTCTTTAGTCTTAATCCATGACAGAGGCAGACAAACTATTCGCTCATAATCGTTTTCCATCGAATATAAGTACTATACAAATTAATTCATTGAATTCAAACATTGAACACATTATTATTATAACAATTGCAGTGGTCAGTGACGAGGTACTGCCCCACGTTTTCTTTTTTTAGTTTTAATCCCCAATACTTCCAATTTTCTTTTAGAAACCGCCTTCGACGGTGAGAAGCAGCATTAAATTAACACGATGGTCTGAAAACAATTAATATACCTTTGTAAAATAAATTAACAATATACATTTAATTATATTGGAAATTAAGAATTTACATTAATCTATAAATACACACGAGACACCTACACATTATGAGGTATCGAACAATAAATAAATTACAATATAAATAATAGCTTCGCAATGCACATTGAAGAATATTATACTTAAAATTCCAATTAACGAAATTGCAGTACTGTATAATTATGTTTCGTAAAAAAAAAACAACAATAATTATTATTATAGTATACAATATTATTAAGGCAAGTTATTTTTTAACGATTTTTTGCGTGAATCAAATGATGATAATATTTCGTTGAGGGATTTTCCTTTTGTTTCTGGCATTATGAACGCACCGAACAATGCACTTGCAAAACAGAATATTGTGAACACTGACCAAACAAATTCCACTCCGAATTTCGACACTAATGCAGGGTACACTTTGATGACTAAAAACATTAATTCGTATCCAATCACTTGTACGATTCCGCCCATTACCCCTAAAACATAAAAACAATTAAGTATAACAGTTTACAAAAAAAAAAATAAATTTTAAATTTAAAAAAAATTAAGAATATTAAAAATGTGGCCTAATAGTGATGAATCTATAATCAGGTGTTTGACAAAAAATGAAAAAATAAACTGTACTGCTTTTAACGTCCACCGATATTCAGCTTACACACTACCGTGTA